ATTTTAATTATATTAACAAACCATTCATATGAAAAAAGATATATATAATGCAAAATATGTAAATAAATTTTGTGGAAAATGCGTTCCAAAATTAAATGTAAACGTAAATTCATATTATTTTATAATATGAGAATAATATTTATTTCATATACCACTTTAGAATTATTATATATTAATATGATATGAAAAAAATAATAACAGTTATTAATAAACAATCAATACTGTACTAATAGTGTAAATAACAATATTATGGTGCATGAAATCACATCTATATAATGCTATAAACGCAGTCATAGTATAGTAATTCTAATAACACAATAAATATATGAATAATGTATTTCCAAATAAACAATAAAAAAATATGTATACAAAAGAATAAATTATTAAAATACATTGTAACAAATTTACTTATTATAAATATTATAATTTATATGCATTGCAATATCTTATTTAATATACATAAATGCAAAATAAAATATTAATATGTTTCATTCAATATTTATCATACAATTGTTAATCATTATTACAAATAGCGGGCAAAAAATAAAAATAAAACATAAAGCTTGTAAAAATATTGTATACAAAATGCATTCATTTCTCAATGAAATAATTAAAGTCTAAAAATAAACCTAAGATATAAACTATAAACCTAAATCCTTAACCTGGTATGAATCATTATTAATACTGAATATGTATAATTTTAACTGATATAAAATTCATATGAAAACATATATGTAAATAACAAAAACAGTGATTTGTGCTTGAATAATTCCTAATGATTATGACATATGAATCGATTGTGTTATAACGTAAAAATTTTTAGGTTTATTTTCTTAATATTATAAGAACCTTTTATTTGAAATGTCACAATAAATGGCAAAAACGACATATATATTTAAATGATACTATATATGATGAATAATTATATTTTCTTTTACGTATATTTCAATTCATGGAAAATTATATTGCATATATTTTAATTGTATATGTACAATGTAATGTTAATTTATATTATAAGAACATTTTTATATTATATATAATAATTAAAAAATATTATGCGTTTTATTTAAATATAATTTAAAAAAGAACTTCAAATCATTATTTTTTAGCTATTATTATTTTTGCTTTATGATGAAACAAATCCCTATCCAAAAAAAATAAACAACGTATAATAGATTCATTAAATAATATATTTAAACGTTGTATTTAACTTTTTAAATATATATTATAAAACTTAAAGTGTTATTTCAATATATGTCTTTGTGTTTAAATTAACTTTCTCTATATTTACACATGTTATATATAATTATAGATAGCTTATGCATGATTGAATGGGGGAATTAATTATTTTAAATTTCTCATATTTCATATATTATAAAATGTGTAAAAATGGTTGCAGCACAACTGGAAGTAAGGATACATTTAAATTTAATCATATTTTTTTTCATATATTTATATTAATGTAATTAATACGATTAATGTTTTACAATAAAAAACATATAATATTAAGGAATAACTAAATATTTATATCTTTTTTATTTTATTTTTTTAGTCTTTTAAAAGAGATGATTTGCCTTCATTTAAATTTTATAAAATCCTGAATGATGATTCTATGAAATTAAATGATATAATCGTAACATACTGTAGTGATTTTAAAAACCATTACGGTAAATATAGGCAAATTCAAGAACTTTGTTCAAAATATGTAACTTATTTAAAAAAACAAGAAGATATATGGATAAAAAAAGAATACAATAATATTAATTGTAATATTTTAAGCTATTGGGTATCTGAACAGCTATTTACAACTCTTGAAAATGATATAAATAAATGTACTTTAGCATTCGGTGAAATTCAACACATGTGGAGTAAAGCTTCTCAGTTTTTTCCTACATACAAATCTTATAAATGCAAACCTTATAATTCTATTATTAATTTCTATAGTAAATGGAAAGAGGCAAAATATCTGTATGATTACTATATAGATTTTGATCACCTTAAATCAATTCCAGATGGGTGTGGTGATAAATGTGATGATTTATGTGAATACCTTAATAAAATAGATGAGGTATATAAAAGTTTTAAAAGCAACTGTTCTCATAATAACGAAAATAATTGCCCAGTTCCTATGTTTCCATACGATTATTATAATCCATTATTATTGATAAATAAGTTTTATTGCCGTAAACAAGATGAAGTGTTAGATAATCCTGAAACCGTTACACCTCAAGGAGAACATGATGTGAGTACTCTTGTACAAGATGTTCCTGTTGAACAATTAAGTACAAATGTTTTTCAGGAAGAACCAGAACCAACAATGGATGAATCGAAGTCTCTAAGTTTATTTAGTAAATCTCTTTTAGGATTCGTTCTAATATCTATGTTATTGGGTGTTTTATAT